GTATGTATTTTATTCAATTTTCGTTTCCATAGTTTGGAATATTATGCATAATTTTTTATTACATTTATACCGAAAATATTTAAAACACATGATAATTGTCAACAATCAGCTATGTTTCAATATTTGTTTGCATTATATCATTTTCATAAAATAAGGTACATAAGTACATTTTGTTTTTTTGCTTTAACTCAGACACACGTACACTGCCTTAGTATTAATAAAAAGATTCACATTTTAAGTACACGTCACAGTGGTCTTGAAATATAATTAAGATTTTTTTAACGAAAGCGTTTATCACTAAGATCAGTTATTAGAACGAAATTAAAAATTTAGATTTCTTGTTACAAAGCCGGACTACATTATTATTGTAATTACGTCGCCCAAAAATATATGAAAATTAACTTAGCAATTATTTGATAATTTTAAGAATTATTTTAATAAATTAATTATAGCAAAGAAAATTGATATGTATAAATTTTAAAAATTTAGTAATGAAATGTTTTTTAAATAATTTTTCGGATAAAATTTTTTCGTAAGAAAAAATTGAAAAATGGTCAAACGGCTGCTATCTTTAATGTCATAAAAAATTTAATAGTTAAATAACGATTTGAGATGAAAAAATTTGATTGACTAACAGAAAAATATTAATTGAACTGAAATTATTTAAAAATTATTGTTATAAACAATTATTTTATTATTTGTTTGGAATGAAAAATTTTAATTGTTGTTAAATTTCTAAATATTATAAATTTTGAAAATACTTGATAACGCAATTATAGAATAAAAAAATATATAGAAGCAATACAAAAAAAATATTCAAAACATTATCTTAGACTATAACCTATTTTCGATCGTTATTAGAAATATCATTTTTTATTAAATATTTTATGATAAGATTAATATCTCTTTCGTAAAAAAAAAAAAAATAATATTTATTATTCGTATGAAAATGAAGTTAGATGACATTAAAAAATTTTTAGAATTTTTTTTATTGAAAAAATGATTACGAAAAAATAAAAAAAAATTTTTACTTGTAAAAAACTTTAAAAACTGTAAGTGCAGTTGTTAAAAAATATCTTTTTGTTCTAATTCAATTATTGATAAAAAAAAATTAAAAATATTAGCTAACTTTAGTATTTTATTATTTGTTGATCACTTTAGAAATATTTTTATCTTTGGCTAATTAAAAATAATTTAAACAACTTTCAGATACCCGTTAATTTTAGATACGAAAAATATTAATAAATTTTGTTTACTAACCTGAAACATATAAAATTAAACATTTGTGTTTCACCGTGCCATTATTGTAACGATATACACGAGTTTTACTTTCTGTATTATATTCTTTAAAATCTGGTATGAACCGTGTTTCTAATATCACTTTTTTGTTGGATTCTCGTGGCAATAATACCAGTGCAAAACGCATTTTTTTTTTTTAATAAGTAATTTTATTTTAAATAAATTTTATTAATGAAATATCTGTGACACAGAATCAAAAAGCGCATTCAACCGTCAACTACCGTATACTAATTGCTTGTCTATACTGGCGCGTGCCAGCCACCGTAAATGTAAAACTATTTTACCCCTCCTACCCCCACCATCACTCTGAGAAATAAGGTGCCGATAGACAAATAACAAACGAACAACTGACCGCACTTGCTTCAAGCAAGTTGCTTGACGTTTGAAACAGTAGTAGCAGTAGTAGTATTTCTTAGGCTCTGGCGCTGTACTTGGCTTGATGTTTAGTTATCTCTACACAACTACTAATGTATCTGACCTATGTATATGTATAGGATATGTCTACATTATATTCACTTAAAAGTATGAATATATAGGTTTTTCTATATATGTATATACAAAGGACAAATTTCTTTATATGTATGAATTGAATCATTTCATTTGATATTTAATAAGTATTCTTCTAATCTCTATCCAATATCTAATTATCACTTAATTAAAAAAAAATTTTTTATTTCAACTATTTTGTTAATATATTGAAAAAGTTTTAAAAATTTTTTCAGTCGTCAACGAGTATGATTAAAAAAAAAAAAAACATTATACTGTATCAATAAGTAATTTCAAAGTTGTTTGTTTACTGTGAAAAAAAAAAAAAATTTAATTTAAAAATGCACTTTAATATCAATAACGAAATCTTTTTGAAATTTCTTTTTAAAAATCTTTTTTGGCTATTGTAAACTTTTAAATTATTGCACTCTTGTTGGTCAGCATAGATAATCATAAACAACATTTTTAAAGAAAAATTCATAAATCTGCAATAGCTTGATTTGCTATTGCAAGTGCGGCAACAATAGTACGGTTTCTCTCGATGGATGCAAGAAGAACAAAAGATGGCACCTGTTCTAAAAGTAATATTAATTAAAGATATTTATAGTCCAAAAAAAAACAGAAGGATTTATTTATACTCTATCCAGTTGAAATAACTGGTAAAGTGGTTGTCAATTTGAATTACAAAAAAATTCTCTTGCGTCTACTGGAGACTAAAAAAAATTTTACAATAATTAATAGATCGACAAAATTTATTAATATTTTTCGTATCTAAAATTAACAGGTATCTGAAAGTTGTTTAAATTATTTTTAATTAGCCAAAGATAAAAATATTTCTAAAGTGATCAACGAATAATATAATACTAAAGTTAACTAACATTTTTGAAATTTTTTTTTTATCAAAAATTAGATTAGAACAAAAAGATATTTATTTTAAAAACTGCACTTGCAGTTTTTAAAGTTTTTTACAAGTAAAAATTTTTTTTTTATTTTTTCGTAAATCATTTTTTCAATAATAAAAAATTCTAAAAATTTTTAAATGCCGGCTAACTTCATTTGCAATGATACTAAAGTTAGCCGACGTTTTTGATTTTTTGATTTTTTTTTAATAATTAAATTAGAACAAAAATTATTTTTCAAAAATTGGACAGAGTTTTTCAAGTTTTTAACAAATGACAATTTTTTTCTTTTTTTTTTGCAGTCATTTTTTTGAATTTTTGAATGCCGGCTAACTTAATTTTCATTCATTTTCATACGAATAATTAATATTATTTTTTTTTTTTTACGAAAAAGATATTTATCTCTTCATAAAATATTAAATAAAAAATCATATTTCTAATAACAATCGAAAATAGATTATAGTTTAAAATGATGTTTTGAATATTCTTTTTTATTGCTTCTATATATTTTTTTTGTATTATATAATTGCGTTATCAAGTATTTTCAAAATTTTTAATGTTTAGAAATTTAACAACAATTAAAGTTTTTTATTTCAAACAAATAAAACAAAATTATTGTTAATAACAACAATTTTTAAAAAAATATCAGTTCAATATATATTTTTCTGTTAGTCTATCAAATATTTTCATTTCAAATCGTTATTTTACTATTAATTTTTTTACGACATTAAAGATAGCAGCCGTTTGACCATTTTTTAATTTTTTTTTACGAAATTTCATCAGAAAAATTATTAAAAAACATTTCATTATCTAATTTTTAAAATTTCTACATAACAATTGTCTTTGCTATAATTAATTTATTCAAAAAATTCTTAAAATTATCAAATAATTGCTAAGTTAATTTTCATATTTTTTTGGGTGACGTAATTACAATAATAATAAGTAGTCCGGCTTTGTAACGAAAATACGAAAAAAATAAAAGAATAGACAACATTAAATATCTAAACGTACACTCTCGCAAAGAGCACATATACATCAGTCAAAGTAGTTCAGTTAGCAACTATTTTTAATTATTTATTTTTATTTTTTTTTCTTATTTGTAATTGTAAATTTAATAAATTTCAGTATAAATGCTTAAGTTAAAATCTTAATTCGTGAAAATAGCTATACTAAATTTTTTATTTCGTTCTGATAACTGATCTTAGTGATAAAAGCTTTCGTTAAAAAAATCTTAATTATATTTCAAGACCACTGTGGCGTGTTCTTAAATTGTGTATCTTTGTATTAATTCTTTGGCAGTGTACCTGTGTCTGAGTTAAAGCAAAAAAACAAAATATACTTATGTACCTTATTTTATGAAAATGATATAATGCCAACAAATATTGAAACATAGCTAATTGTTGACAATTATCATATGTTTTAAATATTCTCGGTATATATGTAATAAAAAATTATGCATATTATTTCAAACTATGGAAACGAAAATTAAATAAAATACACACGAAGAAATCGTTGACGAGTACTTATGCACTGTTTCAAAAAAATATTAATAGCAAAAAATATTTTATGTTATCAATTATTATGTAAGTTATGAAAATTATATGATTCATAACATCAAATTTATTTTGTGTACGTTTTATTACTTCATGAGTATTTGTTAAAATTGATTTTATCTGTATTAAAATTTTTAACGTAAAAAATTAATTTACGCCTCAACGATTTTACCGAAAAGTGTTTGATTGTAAAAAACTATTCAGTTTATTTGCTATTCAGTTTTTTTACTATCAACTTAATCCTGGCGTAATTCAGATGAAAAGTTTTTTCGGTTTTCATAAAATTTGTTCATTTAGATAAATTTATAAATCTAAAATACTTCTTATGTTAATACTAATACAGTTCTTTTTTGAATATTTACTGACTAAAGTAGATGTTTTTAAATTTTAATTTATGTTATGCATTCAGATTAGTATTAGAAAACTGTTTTTTTTTATTTCCGTTTTTTTTCTTATAAGCCAATAAATGAAATTTTATTAAATATTAACAAATAATTTTTAAGTATTAAAATCATTTTTATATTTTTTATAACATGCTTGGTTAGAAAAAAACTTTCGTGTTTTATAGGAAGTTATTATTATTAAAAAAAAAAACAAAAAATTGTTGAAAACTCGTTGAAAATTATTTGAAAGTGTTAATATAATCAAGAGATTTTAGATATGTTTATTGGTTAATTATTCTTTCAAATCATAATTATGTAGAAACATTGTTAAAATTTATCCACACTGATTCATGATAGCTAATTGATTTTAAACTTCAGATTCTGTCAAGGAATTAAAAAATCCTAACTTGCAATATCAGATTCCAAAAATAAATTATTCGTCGCTCTGTACCTATTGTTACTTACAAATTGGTGTCTCAGATAATAATACTACTCTGTAAGTAAATTTTATTTTTCTAATTTTTTTCATGGTCAAATGTTGATCATAGTTATTGAAATTAGATAATTGAATTGTTTAAATAGATATCTTGAATGTCATGAGAAAAGTCGCCGCAGATGTCCAGCTCGAGGAGTAAAGAAGATTGAATCACCCTTTGTTTTTTTAACAAGAAATCACAACCATATTCGAAATTATGATATTGAATTGATTTATAATTTCAAACATGAGTTGTATTCTTCTGTAATATCTACTACACGTGATTTACGTATTCTTCGAAATAAGTATTAGGTATAAATTTATTTATCATAAACTTTTTAAGTTAGCATGTACTGATAGAAAGGTTATATTGACTGAAGAAACAAAATTTTATAATAAGGGAATCAAATAATTTCTTGAGTTGATAGAAAAAATTCTTGAGCTAAGATAAAATTCTAGATTTAAAGAAAAATTTCTTGGCTCAAAAGTTTTTTTTCTATTATTAAGAAATTGATCGACGCATAAAAGGACGTTATTTTAATTAATAATTAATTATCTATGCGTCTGATTAAAAAATGGCTAAGGACTTTTCGTCTCAGAATTATTTTTTTTATCAGATGCTACAATGGCGTCCGGTACTTCTGGGACACTCTGTATACCTCTTTACTCCGATCATTTTGTTTAAAATTTTGCGAAACCGTTCTTTCTAATAAAATAAAAAAATACCCCGGAAAATTTTAACTCTTAATATTGCCGTTTTAAAGCTGAAATTTTTCTAATGTACAAAAATTCACAACTTTTCATCAAAATTTCACACGTTTCACTACATAATGACACAGAAAAATTTTTGGAATAGAATTAAAGTGGAAAAATTTTTTTTGATTATTCAACGCGTGTAACGTTAAATCTGACATATTTTTTATAACATCCAGGAATTTTTACCATTAAATATATCATTCTCTAGTTAGACATATTTTTTGTTTCAATATAAGCGGATAAAACATGGATATATAACGATCAACTAACTGAAATTGTCAGGGATTTTTCCTGTTATTACAAAGAATGCTTTCACAAAATTTTAATAAAATCTCTGTTAGTTGTCTCGTAAACAACACTTTTCTTGATGGAATGATCCATGTATATAATAACCAACATCGATATTGAGTTTTAATTTCTGCAGCCAATCGGATATAGAACATGTTAGATTAACAGCGAAAAATGCATCTTAGGAAATTTTGAGAAAATTATAGAATATATTGTATTTATGAGCTGTCCAAATCATAATTATAGAGCAGGAAGCAAATCGGTTTCTATTCATTAACTGTATCATTTCGTAATTGTTTGATTTCGATTGGCGCAAGTCATTGAAACTCGTACTTTTAATGTAGTAGTCTAGTCGAAAAGTGAGTTTTCTACAAAAATTGTTAGACTACTCTTAAAAACATGGCGATTGGTGCATTGGATTTAGAATTTTATTCTGAGAAATGGGTATTTTTTAATTTATCTCCTATTAAAAATTTCATTTGTTATAAACAAAAAACAAAGAAACGAAAAGGTAGTCTCCGTTTTGTAGCTATGACTTCAAAAATATTGAGAATTGTAAATGATGATTTAAAAAAAGAAATGATTTCTTAAGAAATAATTTTAATGGTGGATAATTAAAATAATAGAAAAAAAACAAATATAAACAATAAAAAAATTTTTTTAAGAAAAAAAATTTTTTTTTTAATCATTATTTTACAAAGACAATAAAATGACAAAAAAAAATTAGAAAAACGGTTCACCCTAAAGGCCATCCGTGCAACTTCCCGCTAATTCCATTCCTGGGCGCTTAAAATTGTACTTATGACATTTTTGAGATTTTTAAGCTCAAAATATAATTTATATGATACTTTGAGCTCGCTGAGTTCAAAGAAATAATATTTCTATGCATTTGAGCTCTCCCAGCTCAAAAGTCTGATAGAAGTTTCATAGAACACTATTTTTGGAATTTTCAAACCGCAATAACTTTTGAATGGATCAACCAATTGTCACGCAATTGAACCGAAAATTTCGGAGTAATCCCAAAAAAACACTTTTTTCGGTTTTCTTTCGTTCACGATATCTCTCGAACGAATCAACCGATTTTGACCAGATTGGCGGCAATCGACGTGGTTTTCTAAGGTTGAGAGCTGATTAGTTTTTGAAATCGATCGGTAGATCCGTTTAAAAGTTATTCCAAAAAAAACACTTTTCAAAAAACACACACACACACACACACACACACACACACACACACACACACACACACACACACACACACACACACACACACACACACACACACACACACACACACACACACACACACACACACACACACACACACACACACACACAGACATACAGACACCACCGCGGGAGTAGTCAGGGAAGCTTCCTATGACCTTAAAACGTCGAGATCTGATGAAAACTCGATTTTTGCAAAACGGGGAGAAAACAATAACTTCCCGATTTTTGAAAATCTGAGATTTTTAGCGGGAAGTTAAAAAAATTTATTACGAAAGTAAAAAAACATTTGTATTTGGAGCATTGAAAACTAAAATGAAATAAATTTTGGTTTTTTTGCTATAAATTCGTAAACCACCGAAATGTCAGTCCCCTGGGCTGTCCCAGTCCCAAAATTAAAACTTTAAGATTAAATTTTAAGTTATTCGTCTATAATATATAATTTTATCCGTAATCTTTATAAACTTAATTAGTTAACTAACAATCTTCTTCAATAAAAAGTACCGAAAGTTAATTTGTTTCATTATATTCATTAAACCAAAGTTTGTCCCAGGCATTTGAGATCAGTCCCCTGCCAGAAGTTCAAAGCCAAAAAAAAAAGTCTAGCGTGTTATTTTACCTTTTATAAGGTTTATAAGGATCTAACTAGCCTTAAGTTAATAACCATAGAGCTGTTAACGCTTTATCACCATTTTATTTAGTGTTAAAGCACCGTTTGTGCTGGAAATATGTGTCTGGGCCACTTCAAAAGTCAGTCCCCTGGTAGCTATTTTTGTTTATAATTTATTTATAAAATTGGATCCATAAGTCTTAATATTATTCTTATTAATGTAAACATTCATTGAGAACTTAAAAAGTTGAATGCATTGAAATAGTTTGCTTCATTTTTCTCAATTTGATAAAAAAAATCAGTCCCCTGTCATGTTACGCATGCAAAAGACACGCAAATATCAAAAAAGCAAAAATTAATTCGGCTGTTTACTTATTACGATTAAGCTGATAGTATTGTAGTCCTTGTTCATTTTTTTTCTAATAAAATCAAAAAAAATTTGGTCGGACATTTTTGTACAGATTTAAGACGTCCTTACAGAGAATCACCCATTAATACAAAAACAGCCAAAATTAAAAGTTTTGGAAAAAAAAATTTTTTTATAACATTAGCCGGATATTTTAATTTTTGGTAACTTTGAAAGATCATAAACAAATGAAAAAGCTTTTATTAACTTTTACAACGGAATCATGTTCATATTTATATAACAAGAGCTCCCAAAAAAATAAAATTAATAGACACATTTTTTAAACTTTTACAAGAGATTTTATCAAAACTCAAGTCTCCGAAAAATTTGTTAATTAACAATCAAATAACTTAAACAAAAATCAAGCTAAAAAATTTTTTTTCATGGGGCTATATTCTTTCACGTGTCTAGATGACACTATAATTTATTCAGATTTATAAAATTAATATTGAATGTTATAAAAAAATTATTTTGTGTTGCATACTTTGCTTGGCAGCGACGTCTAGATACCGAAACCGCGCGGACCACAATCTTCAACGTTAAATTAAAATTATAAATAATGGAGCTACAACTCCGAGCGTCGAGACTTATTGTACTAAAAATTTCTTCTCTTTTAGGATTTTTTTTTCAAATTTCAGATATCTTTGATATTTTTGAAGTTATAGCTATAAAACGGAAACTCCCTTTTTGTCTCTTCGTTTTTTGTATATAATAAATGAAATTTTTAATGGGAGATAAAATAAAAAATACCTATTTCTCAGAATTAAATTCTGAATCTAATGCACCAATCACCATAATTTTAAGAGTGGTCTAGCGATTTTTCGCAGAAAACTCACTTCGCGACTAGACTATAGGTTTTTATCAAAAAAATTATGATCTGTTAAGTTTTTTTACCTCTTAAAGTTTTTATTCCGTCTATGGGTAATTTTAAAGGTTTTTCCAAATTTTCATTGTCATTTGCCTTCTTACTTCTTCTTGAACTTTCGCCTGTCACCGTGCTTTTACGCAAAGTTTCGACACCAAAAATAAATCTGGCCATGTTATTCACAAATCCAGTTGCTCGCTGTATATCTACTACTGTTTTAAAATTTTCCTTGTCCATCCAACGGTCGTTCCCTATATAAACTCTTGTTTTTTCGTCATTTTCGCTACCAATTGCCGTTGTCTGTAGTCCTACTTCATCAGAATTATTATTTTCTTGATTACATTTTATCTCCTTTAAAAAACCTGTAATAAGAAATGACGGTGCTTAGTAATAAAGTAATAATAAAATGCGGATAGAAAGCCGCACAGTCGAAGGCATACGGTGTAGGTATTACACTTTTTGCCAAGTGAAAAAATATTGTGCATTTTAAGTCCGTAAAAATCAACAATTTTTAAATCTAAACACAGAAAAAAAATTTACTTGAATCAAGTAAATAATTTTGAAGAACTTTATCTTCTTGATTTGAGTAGAAAAATTCTCAAGTTGAATAAATTTTTCTTGATTTAAGTAAATTTTACTAGATTCAAGAATTTTCCGTCTCGTTCAAAAGTTATGAGAGGTTTACATACGGCCACACACACACACATATACATATACATACAGACATACGGAAATCATCGCGGAAACATTCGGGAAAGCTTCCTAGGACCTCATAACGTCAACATCTGTTGAGAACTCGATTTTCGAAAAACGGGCCAAATAACTTCCCAACTTTTGAAAATTTTCAAATTTTTTAGCGGGAAGTTAAAAATGTTTTTTTTTTTCAGAATTAATGTAAAATTTTTAGTCTGACCAGTTCGCGCCGTAAAATTCTTCAAAGAGCACAAAAAACTTCGTTAAGTGCTGTAAACCACGAGAAAATCAATCAGTTGATTAATTCAAAAGTTATTGCGGTTTAAAAATTCAAAAAATAGTGTTTTATGAAACTTCTACTGGACTTCTGAGGTTAAAGGGCTCAAAAACAAAATAAGTGAAATGTTGAGCGCTTATGTATGGAGTTAGCAGGAAGTTGCAGAAATGGCTTTTAGCATCAACCGTTTTAT